ATTCCATTAACAGTTACCAGATCAATAATGCAATTTAAAATGGGTATGTGAATGAGCCTAAAAACTCATTTAGTGTGTTATAATTATAAAATTAGGTGTATATGAGCGAGGCATCTGACAGGGAAAAAGAGCGTTCATCTTGCGACCATCAGTTTCTATTCATATAAATGTTGAAGGTTATCAAGGCGGAGTTTCAGGATGCTAGGCGCTCCAGCTGGCATGTTTTATTTCCAATGGTTGATTTGAGTTTACCATCACATGCATTTCACTGTGCTGCCATACAAATTCTAAGTGCTTTCATCACTCTCACTTTAGTCAAAGTTTTGTCCAAATCTTTAGCTCTCAAGTGTATAACCTTTCTAACTCATTATAGCTTCCTTTGCTCGGGATTCTACGGTGTACCGTAGGTTCCCGAGCAAGCATCCCCCTCCCTCCTCCATCAAGTCGAAATTACCGACCAAGTGGAGGGAGGCGCTTTCTTCAAACAATTCAAGATGGTTTTCTCACTGGGAAAAAGCTGAGTGCTTGTGAACATCTTCAGAAGTTTTATCATTCATGGCTTAGCACATCACAATATAGCTCACTACACAAACTCAATGCGATCATTGATTGATATGTGGGGTTTAACCTCTCCAAACCACTGTATGATATTCAGAGACGTCGTAGAACAGCGCTCCGGAAATTTTGACTTTCTGGGATTGTTTAACGTGCACCCAAATCTGAGCACGCGGGCCTACAGCATTTTCACCTTCATTGAAAATGCAGCCGGGATTCGATCCCGCGACCTACGCGTCAGCAGCAGAGTTCTTTAGCTGCTAAACCCCTGCAGGTGTGGGGACAATGCGATTATACCACAGGAAGTGTGGCATGGAAGGACCTTTAACGGAGAAATGCAACAGCTCTTAGTAATAAATACAGATCTTGGATGGCTTACATTCGCTGTCTACATTGTCGTGATAGGTACCATTTTGTAATACAGATCTCGAAGGCCATTTGCTCACGGCATTCTGAAAGTCGTCCTGGGCGTATTGCATTAAGCATGGGGTGCGATCATTATGCGTGCCAAAAAAAATGAATTTTTGAAGACAAGTTTCAGGTGCTTATAGATTGAGCAACTGCGTAGAATCGAAGAATTTAAAAGCAACTCACTGTGGACGTCTGCTTGATCGGGTGTGGAATGACAGAAAAAATGGAAATTAGCTGTGAGATGGGAAGGCGGGCTTACTCGGGTAGGGGTGCTTGCTTGGAATTGTTAAATTGCAAGATTATTCAACCCTGCAGTTGATTACATGTAACTGTATGCAGTTGATTATATACAATTCTGCGGCTTTGCCGTGTAATATTGAAATTATTAATTAAAATTGAATGGCCTCAATGCTGCCTCCAGCAGCAAGAGCGTAGTGGTTAGAGCATCGCCCTCGCATGCAAAAGGTGCGTGGTTCGAATTTCAGTGCCGCGCAGTTCCCAACCGGATTAAAAAAATCCGCGTGGTGATGAAACTGCATTACGAGGCCTGGGGTGCGGCCTCACCGGTAACCACCACCGGGAACGCACTCCCTCACCAGAGAAGTATTGGCCACCCTGGTGCAGTATCTGGCCACTACCTCCTACATGCATACGTCAAATAACTCACGGTCCTCAGTCCCCAGCAGCTGCGAAGCAACTGACCACGGTGGCGGTCAGATCTGAAACGCAGCTGAGGGTGCTAGGAATCTCTGGATCCGGACAGGCCGCATTTGGAACCTGAACTTGGTAACGTTTAACGCTAGAACCTTATCTAGTGAGGAAAGTCTAGCTGTACTATTCGAGGAGCTAGAGGGTGTTAAATGGGATATACTAGGGCTCAGTGAGGTTAGGAGGACAGATGAGGCCCATACGGTGCTACAGAATGGGCACGACGTTTGCTATCGGGGTTTGGCTGACGGAAGAGAACGGGGAGTGGGGTTCCTAATTCACAGAAACATAGCTTGCAACATAGAAGAATGCTATAGCATTAATGAAAGGGTGGTATCGTAATTAAACTGAATAAGAGATACAAGATGAAGGTCATACAGGCTTACGCGCCTACATCCAGCCATGACGACGCTTCAGTTGAAAGCTTCTATGAAGACGTGGAATCGGCAATGAGTAAGATAAAAACACTGTATACAATACTGATGGGAGACCTTAATGCAAAGGTAGGGAAGAAGCAGGATGGAGACCAGGCAGTAGGAGATTATGCCATCGGTACTAGAAACGCCTGAGAAGAGCTACAAGTAGAATTCACGGAACGCATTAATGTACGAATTTTGAATACTTTCTACCAAAAATGAGGAAACTACAAGTGGACATGGAGGAACCCTTATGGCGAAAATAGGAACGAAATGGAGTTTACAATGAGTGCACACGCAGTCATCGTGCAGGATGTGGAAGTGATTGGCAAGGTACGATGCAGTGACCATAGAATGGTACGGTCTCGAATTCGCCTAGACTTGAAGAAGGAACGACAAAAACTGGTACGCAAAAAGTCAATCAATGAGCTAACGCTGAAAAGGAAAGTACATGAATTGAGAGTCTCGCTTCAAGAAAAAGTACTCGGCTTTTAGTTAGGAAACCAACCTTAGCGTAGATACAATGAATGATAATCTGACGAGTTTCATTACGGATTGTGCAGTGGAAGTAGGAGGCAGGTTAGTTAGACAGGACAATGACAAGCTTACCCAGGAAAGAAAAAATCTTCTTAAGAAGCGTCAAATCATGAAAGTCCTAAGTACAACAGACAAAATAGAACTGGCAGAGCTTTCGAAGTTGATTAATAGGCGTAAGGTATCCGATGTAAGAAGGTGTAACAGAGAGAGAATTGAACACGCTATGAAAAACGGAGGAAGCGTCAAAGCAGTGAAGAGGAATCTTGGGATAGGCAAAATTCGGATGTATGCACTAAGGGACAAAGAAGGCAAAATAACTACCAGTATGGATAGTATAGTTAAAATAGCGGAGAAGTTTTACAAAGATCTGTACAATAGCCGGGATAACCACGACTTTATTACTATAAGAACTAGCACTAACCCAGATGACACCCCACCAGTAATGATAGAAGAAGTCAGAAAAGCTTTGGAGAGCTTGTAAAGAGGCAAAGCTGCCGGTGAGGATCAGGTAACATCAGATCGGCTGAAAGATGAAAGACAGGTTGTGTTAAAAAAACTAGCCACCCTGTTTACGAGGTGTCTTCTGAGGGGAAGAGTACCAGAGTCTTGGAAGTTTGCAAATATCATCTTAATACTTAAGAAAGGAGATGACAAGGACTTGAAGAATTACAGGCCGATTAGCTTGCTCTCTGTAGAATACAAGCTATTTACAAAAGTAATTGCTAACTGAGTAAAGAAAACATTAGAATTCAATCAACCAAGGGAACAAGCAGGATTTTGAACAGGCTACTCCACAATCGACCACATTAATACTATCAATTAGGTAATAGAGAAATGCTCAAAATATAACCAACCACTATACATAGCCTTCATAGATTAGGAGAAGGCGTTTGATTCAGTAGAAATATCAGCCGTCATGCAGACACTGCGGAATCAGGGTGTCGATGAAGTATGTATGAACATCATGGAAGAAATCTACAGGGGATCAACTGCCACCATAGTGCTTCATGAAGAAAGGAACAGAACACCAATCAAGAAGGGTGTAAGGCATGGGGACACAATCTCTCCAATGCTATTTACCGCGTGCTTACAGGAGGTTTTCAAAAGCCTAGAATGGGAAAAGTTAGGGATAAAAGTTAATGGAGACTACCTTAGTGTCCTGCGCTTCGCTGACGACATTGCACTGCTGAGTAACTCAGGCGCCGAATTGCAACTCATGATTACGGAGTTAGACAAGGAGAGCAAAAAGGTGGGTCTTAAAATGAATCTGCTGAAAACGAAAGTAATGTACAACAACCTCGGAAAAGAGCAGCGCTTCGAGATAGGTAATAGTGTACTTCAAGTTGTAAAAGACTATGTTTACTTAGGGCAGGTAATAACCGCGGAGCCGAACCACGAGATATAAAAAACTAGAATAAGAATGGGATGGAGCACATTTGGCAAGCACTCTTAAATTAAGACAGGTAGATTGCCACTATCCGTCGAGAGGAAGGTATATAACAGCTGTATCTTGCCGGTACTTAGCTACGGAGCAGAAACCTAGAGACTTACAAAGAGGGTTCAGCTTAAATTGAGGACGATGCAGAGAGCAATAGAAAGATAAATGGTAGGTGTAACCTTAAGAGACAAGAAGAAAGCAGAGTGGATTGGGGAACAAACAGGGGTTAAGGATATCATAGCTGAAATCAAGAAGAAGAAATGGACATGGGCCGGGCATGTAGCGCGTAGACAGGATAACCGCTGGTCGTTAAGGGTAACTAACGGGATACCCAGAGAAGGGAAGTGGGTTAGAGGGAGACAGAATGTTAGATGGGCAGATGAGATTAAGAAGTTTGCGGGTATAAATTGGCAGCAGCAAGCACAGGACCGGGTTAACTGGCGGAACATGAAAGAGGCCTTTGTCCTGCAGTGGACGGAGTCAGGCTGATGATGATGATGATGATGATGATGATGATGATAGTAAGTCCTGGAGAGTGGCTTTGAAACCTTCCCTGCATAGCACTTAGTTTAAAGCGGTCATTTAAAACGATCATTCTGCCCTCTTAAAGGAATATGGTAGACTCTTCTTGGTAAGTTACATAGCTTATGACATGATATTAGCTTCAGTGTTGAGCGATTCTGTTTCAAAGATAAAAAAATACTTACTGGCCTTACAAATAAAAATCTTTAGCGTGTCTTGCTTGCAAATATCAAACTTCTTCTACGTTTTCCAGTGTTTACGCGTCGAATTTACCTACAAAATGTGCTTCGGCTTACGATTACAAGCTTCACAAATACCAGCACTTTATTTGGAAATCCTTAATCAGCATAAACTACAGAGACTAAGTGAATTCGTGTATTCATCTGTTTAGTACAATGCTATTGTTTGTCCAGCCTTCCAGTCCCCCAAGTCTTGACACTGTCTTCTTTGGTGGAAATAAGGTAAGCATTTCATCTGTAACTAATTAGTCTTTTACCCTAAAGAAACCTATGACGCAATGTCTACCTTGAACGTAATAAAAATGGGACACACAATAATAAAAAAGAAAACATTTGTATTGCCAACCTATGTTTTATACTATGTAGGCAATATCATGTTGCTAGTACTCTTGCCTAAAGATGACGGGACTAACCAACCCCAAAACAAGACATCGAGAACGTCTGCCGCTTCTTCTGCCATGATCCTATAGAGTTTCCTAGCACAAAAGCTAATATACAATTGGTCACAGTTCTACTTTTCAGTAACCTTTGTTTTGCGTAAACCAATCTTCCACGGTGTAGCAGGCATGGATAACTTTCACGAGATGTGCTGAAAAAAAAAGAACTGCCTCGAAAGCCAACTCACTGCTCCGTATTTGGGAAGACCCCATTCAAGCTGAATGTTCTCACCATGAGCAGGAAAACCTGTTTCACCTTACGTTTCTTCAGCTTTGAAAGTCTGCATGATGTCTCATTCTGTCAACACGGATATAACCAGTAGTAGTGAAATTGCACCGATATTCAAATTTTGTAATTAGGCGAGTTCACAAATTTGTTGTGGGAAGCCGGTTGCCGTGTTCGGATGTTCAAGTCATTGTTCGAAGTCTTACTTTAGTAATAAAATGCGAGTGAAAAAACCACTACTTTTTGTTATATCAAAAGGCAACAAAAGGCACTAAACTGCAGTAAAGTGTCTCGAATTTCGAAGGAGCTTTGGCCCACATGTTGAATCACAACTTACTTTTCGTGTTTTAAGAATTGTTGGCTTCTTCAGCCGACTTCACAAAAAGTGAATTAAAGAAGCAGAATTTGCAAATAAAATTACAAAAGGCACATAACATTACGTTCGTCTTAGCTTTGTAAACCAAGTTATGTGAAAAGATGTTTATTAGCTTGGTTAAGTAGTTTATTATTGTGTGAGGTAGATACTATCATTGATGATTGTCCTGTACAATACAATCTCATTTAGAATATCTTGCGATATTGAATGCTAAATTCCGCAACCATGAAGCGATGAAAAGGTCAATCATGCGCACTGAACAAATCTCACGTTTGTGTATATCTGTACTTATCTGTGTTGCACTGTTTCTTGTACTATTATGACGTATCATGTTAACATGTATTAATAACGTGTCACACGTTCTATTTGAGCAAACTTTATGTCAATATCGTCATGATTATCGGTTTCTGCAAAGCTATCAGCGACCAAAATTGCCACTACATTTTATGCGTCCATAACCAGGGCTAAACAGGTTTACTGCTTGGTGCACAAATTTGAGCTCGTCACTTTGGGTGATGATTCAGCGTTCGAAGATTTATTGTGTAGACTTAGTAGCATAATCTACAGAACTGCCGACATCTTTTAGTGCCACTAAAAATACAAGCTTAGACGTTTTTTGCTTGTAAATGGCGAACACTTGTCATCTTGTATAAAGCAGCTGCACCATGTTTAGCCATAAACTGAGACTTTGGCAGGATATCAAATCTGCGCATATATACATTCACTTTTTGAGCGATAAACTGTTTATTTTTTCAGCCTTCAACACCTCCTAGTCTTGAGACCGTCACCTTAGGCGGAGTTCGGGTAAGCATTTCTTGTCCAAACAAGCTAAGCGATCTTCGATGTAAACCGAAACTACTACATAACAATTGCCTTGAATACTGAGGAAATAAACCTTTAGCTCCAGTGAAAACAAAAGAACAAATCTTATATTGCTATGTATTGCTCAAAAACAGCAAAGCTGGTCAATCTTAGAGCTCTAAGCTGTGCTTTTGAACAAATGCTATAAGAATTATCTTGGCATGGATCAATTAGAGACGAATCCCCATCCTGTCAAAGCTGGCGAGAATGTTCAAAACCCAGCTCCAGCAACCCTCGTGCAGCCCTTGTCGCTACACTCCCGGTCGGACCACGGATGTCTTGGCTTTGTATACCAAGTTATGTGAAAAGATGTTTATTATCTTGGCTAACTAGTTTATTAATGTGTGTGGTCGATACTATCATTGGTGATCGTTCTGTACAATACAATCTCATTTAGAATATCTTGCGATATTGAATGCTAAATTCCGCAACCATGAAGCGATGAAAATGGCAATCATGCGCACTGAACAAATCTCACGTTTGTGTATATCTGTACTTATCTGTGTTGCACTCTTTCTTGTACTATTATGACGTATCATGCTAACATGTGGTAATAACATGTCACACGTTCTACTTGAGCAAACTTTATGTCAATATCCTCATGATTATCAGTTTCTGCAAAGCCATCAGTGACTAAAATGCCACTAAATTTATATGCGTTCATAACCAGGGTGAAACAGGTTTACTGCTTGGTGCTCAAATTTGAGGTCGTCACTTTGGGTGATGATTCAGCGTTCGGAGATTTCTTGTGTAGACTTAGTAGCATAATCTACAGAACTGCCGACATCTTTTAGTGCCACTAAAAATACAAGCTTAGACGTTTTTTGCTTGTAAATGGCGAACACGCATCGTCTTGTATAAAGTAGCTGCACCATGTTTAGCCATAAACTGAGACTTTGGCAGGATATCAAATGTGCGCATATATACACTCACTTTTTGAGCGATAAACTGTTTATTTTTTCAGCCTTCAACACCTCCTAGTCTTGAGACCGTCACCTTAGGCGGAGTTCGGGTAAGCATTTCTTGTCCAAACAAGCTAAGCGATCTTCGATGTAAACCAAAACTACTACATAACAATTGCCTTGAATACTGAGGAAATAAACCTTTACCACCAGTGAAAACAAAAGAACAAATCCTATTTATTTTTACCTATTTATTTAACATACTCTAACCTGTGCTTTTGAACAAATGCATAAGACTTATCTTGGCATAGATCAATTAGAGACGAATCCCCATCCCGTCAAAGCTGGCGAGAATGTTCAAAACCTGGCTCCAGCATCCCTCGTGCAGCACTTGTCGCGGCACTCCCGGTCGGACCACGGATGTTTTGTAGCTCGTACTCTGCTCGCGCTACGCCAGGCAAGCTCGGCGTTGGGGTCGCGCATACTGTCTCGTTATATGGGCGTGCCTCTCGCATTAGCTGCTCTTGACGCCTGCTTGGCAAGGTGAGGTGAAACACAAGCGGTGCAGAGCTGTGGTTCGCTCATTTCTAGGTAGCGATAAGGATGGCTTTTAGAGGCGTAGTTCCTTATGAACTAGGCTCTCCGTTAGCGTTGGCATCGGCTTCTTGTGCCGCAGCCACCACTGGTGATGATGATGACAGTGGTGATGATCAAGAAGAGGCACGTTCTACACCGAAAGCTTTCTTTCTGCCATCGTGGCACACTCCAAGCAAGGAACCCTTTATACGTCTTATTAATGATGATGCCGCTCAAGACAATGAAATGCGTACCAGCCCACACAATCTTTATCTGCCTTCATGCTAGAGCATACGCAGCATAGTGATGTGTCATCAGCGTCATCATCATGAACATGACGACGACGCTGAGGAGGATGTAGATGATAATGAAGATCACGATCAAGGACTGGATTGTGTGGTGAATGATCTATTGATATGCTGCGCTGCATTCATGGAAACAACCGACAACTACCAAGTGAAGGCACCCAGGTATCATCTTTGTCAACGGGAGGCTAAATCCAATACCACAAAGCGGTAATAATGAAAACAAACTTGAATTCACACATCAGGGATCTGCCAGGTCTGCACGGAACGTGCAGAGCAGTCACAGCGTAAGTCAGTAGAGTAGTCTTCCAGTGCATTTGTTTAACACTACTTGGGTAATTGCTACAAGTATGCTTGCAGTGTTGCCACTATGTAATAAATTACCATATATTTTGTGTAGTGGGAGGCAAAAATATTTGTTTGTTAACTGTCAATTCTGTCTCATACTCATTCATGGGTATAGGCATAGAAAACTTGTAGTAGGTATTTATATAATGGGAATGGTTACACAAAAGTGAATCAATATAAAAAAGTGCTAATACATGATTTAAAGACTGAATGGTCGAGCTGACCAGACAGTTTTGCTTAACTCTACCGATGAAAATCAATGTATGTCTTAAATTGTCTTACATTACCATTCATATCACTAGCATTTTATGGATACCACAAGGCAGACATTATGTTGCAAACCGTTGAAAATATTTACTAAATTAAAAACTCCATCAAATACCTTTCTTTAGCAATGTTCTATGACGAAGGCAAGGAAGCTTCGCAAATTTTTCGCGGTTAAACTTAAAACCTCATCACCAAACACGGAATACCTGGAACTCTTTTCCTAATAGGTTAATAACTCTGACATGGTAAAAATAATGCTCTATAGTTACTGTTTTATTTTCGCAGATTGCGCACAGAGGAGATATTGCAAGACGAGATATAACTAATAATGATTTAATTTGCGCACAGCCTTGAATGTTGATTGAAATATCTCCAAAATTTTCAGACTGACTCCTTTGAGGTTTTCTAAAGAGTCTCAGCTGCTGATAGTTTGTCCGTTTATCAACTCTCTCCATCACACATGTACACATTGGTAATTTTCTCTTTATGAACCATGCTTTCTATTCTATTTTTGGTATTGCCAAAGTCACAGGTCCATCAATTGACGCTTGCGCTAACTAATCCGTCAGTTTAACACCTGTTTGTCACAGTGGCCTGTGATCTTTACTAACTTGAAAAGTTTTATTTTTGGTGGTAACAATGTGCGCATACTCCTGAGGGCTACTAATTGTCCTGAAGCTGTAAGAGATGTACATAACAAAAGAGAATCAGTCATTATTATTGCTGCGATTTCGCTTGAAGGCAGTTTGGAAAGCGCCAAAAAACTTTATTTGCCCAGCTTTAGCATTAGTAGTGGAATCTGGCAATTTCGCAGGAATTGCCGAGCCGAAGTTATCAGAGACAATGTCACGGGATTTTCTTCACTCACAGAAGCGTCTGTGGCTACAACAATGTTACGCACAATCGAGATGATATATTAATAAC